ACGAGACTTCGTCATCCCTGAGCACTGGCAACCGCGCAACTGTCACTATTTTCTTGAGCCCCTGGAAGACATGGTCGAGGTACGCCCCACGCGGAGGCAAATGAGCCTCGCCTCGGGCCAAAGCGATCGCCCCAACACGGCCCAAGACACCCCCCAGAGGGCGCCAAGACGGTCCCAAGGCAGTCCCAGAGGCAGCGGAGAAGCCCCGAACGGCCTCCAAAATTCCAGAGTGCTGGAGACCAGGCCCATGGCCGGCACACCCTCCCGGATTCCGCTTCTTTTTTGTTCTCCTTTCCCCCCCCCCCCGCCCCGCCTCCCGGCGCTGGGCGTCCGAAGCCGCCTGGGGGGCTCCCAAATCGCCCCACAACCATCCGAAAGGGCTTCCAGGCAGTCCAAGAGAGCCCCAAAACGGCACAACACGGGTCCAAGACGGCCCTAAGAGAACCCCATGGCGGCCCAAGATGGCCCAAAGACACCCTTCGAAGCATTCCGAATCGTGACCCGGTCGTTCAGGGAGACCACGGTTGGAGGCAGTGTGGCCCGAGGAAGCCCCCGGAGGCCCCCAGAATATGCCCAGGAGGCCTCAGGAAGGCCTTAAGAAAGCCTGAAAGAACTTTTGTGAGGCCCCAGAGGCTCTCCAAGGAGGAGCATCCGCAAAAAAGAGCTGAGGAGGATGGGGAGAATGCGCAGGGCATGGCGAAAACAAGGAAACATAAGCATGGAGGAAGAATAACGAATAACCTTATTATAGCGGCGATGCCAGAAAAGGCAACCGGGAGTTATCGCTAAATTGTCGGCTTGACCTTCCTGCTATTCCGCCTGCATACCAAATTTCAAGGACCAAGGTGCATGGCGCGAAGCGCCACTGCAGTCTTGTATATATATATATATATCCCGGGGGGGCAGGCCGGGGCCCGAAAACAGCTGCCTCGACCCCCCATGGGAGTACCGGGGTTCATTTCCTTTGTGTTTTTACCGGGTTTCGGCGTCCCGGGCCTCGGAGGCCACCGCGATGGTCCCAGACATTTTCCAGATCCTCGGCGCGGGCTCCAAGACCATTCCGCAGAGGGCTCCAACAGGTCCCAGGGCAGCCCACGAGGGCTCCAAGACGGCCTCCGAGGTCGCAGCGGTGGGCCCAGACATCTCCCCCTCCCGGGGCGCCCTCCACCTCGCTCACACCTCGATTACGCTACCAGTACCGCGCTTCCCGACCTGACAAAGACAGCCCAAGACAGCCCAAAGGCAGCCCAAGACGACCCCAAGAAGCCCCCAGAACGTAAAAGAAAGGCCAAAGACGCTCCCAAGCAACCTAGGATAGCTTTCGGGCGGCTCTCCAGGCTCCAAGAGGCCTCCAAGAGACCTCAAGAAAGCTCCGAGAGGCCTCCCGAGAGCGCCCGGAGAACCTAAAATCGATAATTTTCATTGTGTCATGGTTTTTGGCCTTCTCACCATTTCATGCTTCCACCGCTCCAAGACGGCCGAAGAAGGAGGAGGAGGAGGAGGAGGAGAGGGAGGAGGAGGAGGAGGAGGAGGAGGAGCAGGAGGAGGAGGAGGAGGGGGAGAAGGAGGAGGAGGAGGAGGTGGCGGCGGAGGAGGAGGAGGAAGAAGAAGAAGAAGGAACGACCGTAGGTTCTGAAACTTCTGTGCTGGGCTCGACCAATTCGCACTACTGTCAGTGGCCCTCTGTTGCACAGGGTTTCTGATACTTTTGGGTGTAGTTCGCGCCAATTCGCACCATTTTCAGTGGCTGTCCCTCGTCCAGGGCTTCTGAGACTTCTGTGCATGGCTTGTGCCGCTTTGCACCACATTCAGTGGCTGTCCGGCAGCATCTGAAATCCTGCAAAGATCGCACCCCCGTTGTTCTTCTTACTGTCGCCGTGCTTATTTTGGCCTAGCAGCGCATGGCATGGCACAGCATTGCAATGCATTGCACTGCATAGCGCGACGTGCCGTGTCTGTGCATACCATGTCACGCGGTAGCACCGCCTCTTCACAGGAAACACAGCAGGTTATGGCTCAGCGTATCATCGCATCCTGATGTCGGACGCTTCCGCGGGTAGTACCGGGTAGGCGCGGAGCTGTTGCGCCCGGGCTGGACCCCCATGACAGGGCGGCGGGCCACCGCGGAGGAGACAGCCGGTGCCGTCCCGCCTCCCGCTCCCTGCCGCCGGGCTCGTGGGCGCCAGGCCTGCGAGCGGCAGACGCCGCCCGGTGGGCCGAAGCCGCAGCCTGGGCGTCGGCGGGCGAACGTCAGGAGGAAAAGAAACCCACAGACACAATTAATCCTCGATTCCCTAGAAAATATGGGAAACTATGGGAAGTGGGGGGGAAGACAGAAACCCAGGAAATATGGGGAATATTTTTATTTGTGCGTATTTATTTGTGTGTCCTGGGGCCCCTTCAGAACGGTGAGGAGGACGGGGAGCAAGGGCTCCCACGAGGGCGCGAAGTGATTCGCGCTTCGCGGGCCCCGTTCCTGCTCCCCCTCCTCCTCGTCCTCCCTTCCTCCCTGTGGGGGGGGCGGTTCGAGGGCGCGAGGTTGTTCGCGCTTCGCGGAGCGCGAGAGCGCGAAGCTGGGAGCCCTTGAGGAGCACGGTGAGGGGAAGGGGGAGGGCGATGTGAGGGGGAACGGGGAGGAGGAGGAGGAGGAGGAGGAGGAGGAGGAGGAGGAGGAGGAGGAGGAGGAGGAGGAGGAGGAGGAGGAGGGGGACGAGCGGACCAGACGGGACTGGAGGGAGGCGGACAGGTGTCCTATAAGCATCCGGCCCCTCCCACGGCTGGCGGCGCGGCTCCCGCTGGCGCCACCGCCAGAGCGAGGGCTCCGAGGAGGCCCCGCCCGCCCGACGGCCCATGCCGTAGCTCCCACGGTGACCCCTGTCCGCCACTCGGGAGCCCCTCGAGCACGAGACGATCCGCCGACCCTCACGGGGCCCTCGTCCAATGTTCCCTCCGACGGCGCACAGACGCGAGGCGAAGGCTCATGGCTGACCGACCGCATGACCCTCTCCAGCGACCTCAAGCCTATCTGCGTATACGCGAGTGTCCAGAGAGCACGGTTGTCGACAGTCCGCGTATACGCGAGTGTCCGCGAGTACCCCCATAATCACATCATGACATGGCACGCACTGCGCACTATAGAGCACATTATGTTATTGCATTGCATACTGCATCGTGGCATTGCGCTTTGCAGCGTAGCATGGTGTATCATGGCATTCCATAGCACAGTGCACCATGGAGCTGTAGCGCTGCACTTTTCCTGGCCCATGGCTTGGCGACAGATCACCGGTCGACCGGTCGATGAGAGCGGAGGAGGGGGAATGAGGAAGAGGCAGGAGGAAACAGAGAATGATGATGTCATTTTTGTTTGACCGCCTTGTTGTCTCGATGCGGTCAGCTTTCGACCAGCTAGAACCTGAGCGCGCGCGAAGCGCGCGCGATGGTTCTAGTGTGTACTTATATATATATATATATATAGAGAGAGAGAGAGAGAGAGAGACACTTATGCGTTGGTTATAACATGGCGCCAAGCCAAAATCATGGTAGTCCGGCTTCCAGCTCCTGGCTCTTGGCTTCCGGCTTTTAGCTCCCGGCGTCTGGTTCCCGGCTTTCGGTTTCCAGTTTCCAGCTTCCAGCTTCCGGCTTCCGGCTTCCGTCTCCCGGTTCCCGAGTTAGATCCCCGCCTTCAGCTTCCGGATTCCAGCTTCCGGCTTCCGGCCCCTGGCTCCCGGCTTCCGGCTTCCAGCTTCGGTCTTCAGTTTCCAGCTTCCGGCTTCCGGCTTTAAGCCCCAGCTTCCTGTTTCCGGCTTCCAGCTTCCGGCTCCCGGCTTCCGTCTCCCGGTTCCCGGGTTTGATCTTCAGCTTCCGGCTTCCGGCTTCTGGCTCCAAATTCCGGCTTCCGGTTCCCGGCTTCCGCGGCGGTTTTCAGCGTCCGATTTTTGGCTTCCGGCTTCCAGCATTCTGGTTTCTGGCTTCCGTCTTCCGGCTTCCAGCTTCCGGCTTCCGGCTTCCGGCTTCCGGCTTCCGGCTCCCGGCTCCCGGCTTCCAGCTTCCGGCCCCTGGCTCCCGGCTTCCGGCTCGCGGGTCCGGCTTCCCGCTTCTGGTTTCCAGCTTCCGGCTTCCGGCTTCCGGTGTCCGGGTTCTGGTTTCCGGCTTCCGGCTTCCGGTTTCCGGCCTTTGGCCTCCGGCGTTCGGCTTCCGGCTTCTGGCTTCCGGTTTCTGGCTTCCTCTTTCCGGCTTCGACCGGCTTCCGGCTTCTGGCTTCCAGCTTCCGGCTTCCGACTTCTGGCTTCCGGCTTCCAGCTTCTGGCCTCTGGCTTCCAGCTTCTGGTTTCCAGCTTCTGGTTTCCGGCTTCCGACTTCCGGCTTCCGGCTCCCGGCTCCAGGTTCCCGGCTTCCCACGCTTCACGCTTCACGCTTGCTTCCGGCGTCCGGCACCCCGACCATCCAAACTTTCTGAATACTAGAGCTACTTCAAAATGATGAAGTGTTGATCAAAGTTGCAGGTTGCTCTTGAAGTACAACTTGATATGCACAAGAAAACCTGGTAATCATACCCTCAAAACATGGAAGCGACTTCAAAAAATAGAGAAAACCTTTAAGACACAACGTTGTCTGCAAAACCAATCGAGAACCCTAAAATGCAGCTGTCTTGTTCTACACAAAGTTACACGCATGTCTTACATGCATGACGCCACGTCGGTGGCAAGCGGATTTGTATACCCTTTGTCACTGGGCCATGTCGTGTTGCGTCAGACTAACGAGGTGCGGAGGCATTTGGCATTGATCGCTGCTCTCCACTGACCCCCCCTTCTGCGACGTGGTCTGCGATCGGAGATGCGAGAGCTTGGTCCAGGAGTAAGTGGAGTTATCTTCGATTCATCATTCGATGCCTTCCTGGTTGTGGACCCCACGTCGGCGCGGGATGCGAAGATAATCGCGATTCGCGCGTGGCTTTCTCGCGATGTCCCGTGCTCCTGTCGGTTCGGCAGTGTTTGGGGGAACCACCACCATCATCATTTCAATCACCATTACTATTAACGTGACCGTCGCCGTCACCGCCGCCACAACCATAGCCTTTTCTGGCCCAATGGGTACGGCAACCAGAACGCCAGGTTGTGATCTGAGCAACTCCGACGCACGATAATGTTTCGATTTGATTAAGTTTTCTGAGTGCACGCCACAAGGGTTGTGGAAAGTTGCCCGTATTACATCAGCTGGCCATACATCAGATTGGGTTGCTATCAACTCTGCTTGGCAAGTGTTGAACCGCATTCTTGAAGTATCGCATGGGTTGATTCTTCGCCAGCATTCATTTCATATTCAATTTCAAGGTTGGCTTGGGAAGAATAATATGACATGGGCTCCAACCGAGCGTCACCGCTGCATCCTTCGTCTGCGGGCGATGTTGCAAAGCCCGCTGGACCGGAAGAGGCGACAACTAGGTGCCCCGAGGCGTTTCCCACAACTCGGAGTTCTCATTCACCAGCTCAAGGTTGCGAGGCTCGAGGGTGCAGTCTCTCGTTCCGATGGTGGGGTGGCTCCTCCAGCATCCGCGCCTTCTCCTCGGAGGCGCCTACGGTCTAAGCATGATGTCGTGGTCGAAGTGCCCATCGCCCCGAAGAAGACTGTCACCGCGGACGTCAGCGACACCGAGGCTAGCGGAGATGTCAACGTCGAGGACTCGCATGAGTTGCTCTTCGGCAAGCAGGGCCCACCTACATCGACAAGTTCATCGACAGGCCCTTTGACTGCAGCGAGTTTGGCTGCGCTGGCCGCTGCTCCCCCGACAGGCCCATCGCCGGCAGAGTACGCGGCGGTCACCCAGGCAGCGAAGGGCAAGAAAGACACGAAACGCATAGCAACTGAGCCTGCTCACGCGGATGGCGAGGCGGCCGACGACCAGGCTGGCGCTCTACCAGCGGCCAAGCCCAAGGCCATGAAATCCAACGATAAGGTCAAGAAGGGGCCCCAGACGGCCTCGGTTTCAGCATCGAAGGTCGACCCAATCTTCCCGTGCCTCGCAATGCAGGGTAGCAGGGCAGTGGTCGGCAACAAAGTATATTCCGCTGCGCGCAGTTTGATGAAGCGGCATCGTTCAAGCCAGGGTTCTTCGATGGATGATGCCCTATCTTCCGCCCGCCAGTATGCTCAGAAATGCAGAGTTCGCTGGTCTTCAGTTTGGAAGCCTTCCAACAAGTAGGCGCAGAGTGCACGTCGGCACAGAGCGAGTGGGGCTCGCTTGATCCACGCGGCGTAGGAGTTGAACCATCATCGCCATCTCCTCCTCATCCTCCTCCTCCTCTGACGTCGCGCTTGCGTCCTGGGGCTGTTTAGGGAATGGCTCTCTCGGGCCCTCTAGGGTGGGGCCCCTGCGGGGGCTCTCTCAGGTCATCTAGCGTGGGGTTCTCTGAGGTCCTCTACGGTGCTCCTCAGGTCCCCCACGGTGCTCTGAGGTCTCTATGGGGGGCTCTGAGGTCCACTGCGGTGCTCTGAGGTCTCTGCGGGGGCTCGCTCAGGTCCTTCACGAAGGGGCTCCTGGCGTGATGTTATGGTGCTATGCGGTCTCATGGCGATGTGGATGACGATTGGTTGTTGCAGTCTCTGCGGGGCCATGGCAATGCTGATTGGAGGTTGCATCTTCTTTGCGGGCCGGTTGCGCGCCGAGGGGGGGGGGGGGGGGGGGGGGGGGGGGGGGGGGGGGGGGGGGGGGGCGGGGGGGCGGAGAAGGAGGTCGCTGAGAATGCGCAACATGACTCTAATCACTTCGAAACATGTTGGGCGTGGAGGTGGAGGAGGATGGGAGGGAGGAGAAGGGGGGGCAGGGTGGGGGACGAGGATGGGGGCGTTTTTTTTTTTTTTTCGCGCGACCCTAGCAGGGCGTTCGGCCACAAGAAAAAACGATTAATTGCTGTTGCGCTGAGTTCCTAATGTCCGTGTGTTCACGAGGTTGGTTGCGCACATGCTTATAGCAGAGTTGCATCCTACATTACTCACACATTACATTACATATCTAAACAAACAAAAAACAACACACCAATAACAAAATTAACCAACTTACATCAACATGCGCCTTCGTGTCCCCCTAAACCAATGCCGATTTGGTTTTAACCAAACATTGCGCGTGGCCGTATTTTGGCTCAAGCTAGCCAGGCTTTCTCACGATTCACGTCGCGTTTATGGCCGACACTTTTCAGCCTTTCAGCGGCGTGGGCGCGGGCCTCGGAGTTGCTGGCGACGCGATCGCACAACCTGGACAAGCGACGCGGGCCGATGCTGAGCAGGGCGAGCGTAGTTGGGCCCCAGCTCCTACGATGAACGTCGAAGAAGACTATGAAGGCGATAGTGCCCCACTAGCGACAGCAGGGGCATCGGGGCCAGCGGCGTCGGCGCCACCGGGATCGATATCCCACTACGTGGAGAAGTCCAGCGATATCCTGGGGCACATCGGGGAAGTTCGTTCCATGAACATCGTCTGCAAGGCTGCCATCGAGAAGATCAGTGACCACAAGTGGAACAGGGCGCTCATGGACGAAGCGACGCTGCTGCACGGCGAGATGGAGAGCTTCTTCGTTGAAATCTACAAGGAGGCGTGGAACGAGGACAACGTCGATGACTATGTCCACTTCGCGGAGGACAGCGCGGAGAACTTCGGGGAGAAGCTGCTCGGCATCAAGGCGCGCGTCGACTTGGAGGGCCGCGCCGGGGGTTCGGACACGGGGGAGGAGGAGTTCGACCCGCGCGACGTGCTCTCGAAGAGCGAGAAGGCGACGACGGAGAAACATTCGAAGCCCGCGGGGAAGAGGCCGGCTGCGAAGGAGACGGCTCCACGATCTTCATCTTCGGCTGCAGGTGGGCCCGACGTCGAGAAGGAGCTCGATGCCGCGCTCGCGCCCGAGGCGGCTCCTGGAAGCAAGCGCGGTCGGCCCAGTAAGGACAGCGCGGACTCGAAGGCCAAAAAGGAGAAGAAGGGCAAGAAGGCCAAGAAGGCCACGCTCGATGACGGTTATGATTGATCCCGTGGCTGCCTGCCCACGCACTCGCGGTCGCGAGAGTTTCTGTCTGATCCCGCGGCTCGGCTGCCGCGCGTTCGCTCACATGCGGGCGCGAGAGATGCTGCCCGTCAGTGCGCCTGACACAGCTTGGGCCCCGTAGAGCGAGACAGGGAAAGAGAGAGAGAGAGAGAGAGAGAGAGAGAGAGAGAGAGAGTGAGAGAGAGAGAGAGAGAGAGAGAGAGAGAGAGAGACAGAGAGAGAGAGAGAGAGAGAGAGAGAGAGAGTGAGAGAGAGAGAACCAAACAGAATATAACAGACCGAGTGAAAGCGCAGAAACCATGGACAGTTACTCCTCCTCCTCCTCCTCCTCTTCCTCCTTCTCCTCTCCTCTGGAGCCAGTTGGCTCGTCCCGTCTTTTCCCCCTCATCCTCCTCTTCCCTCCACTCCGTGGATAGTTGCTCATCGCCCTCCTCATCCCGTCTCGCCTCTTACCCCTGCACCTCCTCCTCCTTCTCTCCGTCGGCCCACGACGGCCTGACAAAGCGGCCCAAGACGGCAGGGCCCCAAGTCCTCTCGGGATCAGGTCGAGGACGTAATTGAAGAGTGATTGACGAATAGCCACTCTTAAATTTACTCTTCGATCTATTGTGGTCGTTCTGTGCATGGATCTTCTTTGGGCGCGCCTCAAACGTTCTGACGATGGCCCAAGACGGCTTGGCATCGCGGCCAATATGGCCCTGCGTAGCGTCCTGGATGGTCCAACACGCCCTCCAAAGCAGCCTAGCGCAACCAATGTTGCCCCAAGACGGCCCGAGATGGATCCAAGACGGCCCTTGGTTGCCCCCAATAGGCAGCAACGATCAAACATGGGCAAGGAACAACGAAGGATGATGCTAGGTAGCTCTGGGCGTGGAAGCGCGCGTCGGAAAGTGAAGAGTACATTGAAGAATAGCTACTCTTCGATCACTCTCCAATCTATTTCAAGCAGGTTTTTCATATGTGTATATGTATAGTCTTATAGCACTGAAGAGTAGATTGAAGAGTGATTGAAGAGTAGCTGTTCTTCAATGTACTCTTCGATTTGTTGTGGTCCTTCTGTCCTCCTAGTGCGCTTCTGGCGTTCCGGGGTGTCTCTGTATCACTGGGCGGTCCCTGAGCCACTCAGCGTCCCATCAGTGACCAATTGTTCCTTAGCCATTTTTCCTCCAGCAGTTTCGCGAGAGGTCTCGTTGGAGGTCGGCCGGGGTCTCCACATGGGGCCGAAGCGCGCCCCTGCTAAACTTTCCGAGCTCAGCCTGACCCAGGAGGATATAGAGTCGGCCAAGAAGATCCTGGCTGCCGCCGATCAAGAAGATGCTGTCCGCAAATCCAGATAGCAACCTGAACAAGTCGAACCGCTACGACAACCAGTTATTGCTGACCTTCCTCGCGCACCAGTCAAGGTGCAACGAGGCTACCAAAAGTACAAGTTCGAAAAAGGAGATCTCGTCGAGCAAGGTGAAGGACGCCGACATCTACAGGATGTCCGCGAAGGAGATGGACGACAAGCTGGGCGTGGAGAAGGTTACTCTCTGGCGCAGCGTCTTGAAGGGCCTCCCCGGCCTGCTGACCTCGAGTGCGCTGTCACACAGAACTGGGAGAGGATGAGCGAATCCGAGCTGGCCACCTTCCTCATCGAAGCCAATGGCGAGGCTACGAGAGAGGACATCTCGGCAGCCCCTGCCTTTAACGGGCCTGACATGCAGTTGGCGGGCATGGTCTCCAGCAGCAGCGGGGCGAACCCAGCGACGGTCAAGGCGGAGCCAGTCGGGAGCCAGGAGGAGACCGACAAGAAGAATCTTGCCTTGAAAGTTGCTGAGGCCGAGGCGAAGTTGCCAGAGCTCGTGCGAGAATTGCAAGACATTCCCTTGGTGATGAAGGTGGTACAGGCGAAGGCTGCCAGTAAGGGTGATCCGTATCATGAAGCTTTTCGTGCTGACCTGGCGGCCCATTGCAAGAAAGTGAAGGCCACGCAGGACGCGTTGGAGAAGATGGCCACCCAGACGGCGAATCCGACTCAGATCCCGAAGCTCCTGAGGGCAATCGACGATCTCCGTGCCAAGAACCTTCAGCTCGCGGAGTTCGCCACCAAGAACGGCTACAAGGAGGAGAACACGACCAACAAGCGCAGGAAGAAGAAGGAGAGCGCCTAAGAGACGCCAGTATGGGGGAGACGTCGCCGTCGAGATCTCCTCGACGCTGGCATTGGGGCGATGCCGTCAGAGCTGGCGGCGCAGCTCTGCCGCAGAGCACAAAACGAGACACGGGCGCCTCAGCGCCCAAATAATATATTTTTTCAATATATATATATATATATATATATATAATATATAATATAAAAAAAAAAAAAAAAAAAAAAAAAAAAAAAAAAAACTAGCCCATATGATGTCTGGACAACAAGCCAAACAGGAAGGGCCCGAGGAAGGGCCCCCAAGAGCCCGAGGAAGGGCCCGAGGATGGGCCCCCAATGGCCTCCAAGGGGCCTCCAAGGGTGTGGGGGGGGGGGGGGGGGGGGGGGGGGGAGGAGGAGGAGCAAACGCTATGATATGCGCGCGACAGACAGCCTTAGAGTTAATACATCTGCACATTGTTTGGAATGCACAATTCAAGGGGTACACATGATCAAACTCAGTTATCGAGGGCGTGGTATCGAGGGCTTGGGGCGCAGGTTCTCTCTAGGCTGTTTGGGGTCTGCTGTGGCCACGATGTTCCCCCAATGTCCCACGAGTGATATCCACGGCCAATGTGGGCTCAAGCTCGCGGGCTAAGTTCCATGTGCGTGTACTTCGCGCCAACGTAGTATATGAGAGGTGGGGTCAAGCAAAGGTTGGCCCAGGCCGGGGAGAATGATATGGAATCGCAATCTCGGGCACAGGGGGCCAGGGGTCAGGCCCAGAAAAAAAAACGTCGGGGCGGAACGCGCCAGAGACTGCGCCACAACGACGATCGCGATGGGCCTCCTGATACCGACCCTCGGCAGGGGCAACTGCTGCGAGCTTTAAAAAGAGATTGGGACAGTGGCGTATTATCATCTTCTCGGGTTCAAGAATACGCTAGTGGAGCCAGGGATCAGGGCGCTTCAGGATTAGACAAGCTTGCAGATATTGGATGTGCTGGAAGATATCAAGGCAACCTGTATCGCGATATCAAGGCTGCTCTTGGCTGGCCAACTGGCTGTCCACCAATAAGTCATATCAAGAGCCCGACGAAGCGGGGCCCAGCATGTCCCTTCCCTGCA